AAATCGTGGCTGTGCAGAGAGTGGTGATGGCGGTGGTAGTTGTCTCGGTGGTGGTGGGGTGTAGTTGGTTCCCACAAAGGTTTTTAACGCTACTTTTGGAACTGCGGGTTTTTGTTGCCTGCGTGCGTCCAGATAATCATCTGCCTTTCTTGCAGCTTCTGTGAGGGATGTAGTGTTCCGGTCCCTTACCCACTCCTGGACATCTGTTGTCACCCCATCATAAAATTGTTCCATAAGCAGCATTTGTATCACGTCCTCCATGGACCGTGCCTTGCTAGCTTGTACCCACCCGAGAGCTGCCCGTTGTAACCTGCATGCCCACTCTGCATGTGAGTCTCTCTCCGCTTTCTTTAAATCCCAAAATCTCCTCTGGTATGCCTCTGGTGTTATGGCATACCGGGCCAGTATAATCTCTTTCACTCTACTGTAATTCCTGATTTCTTTGTCTGGTACAGTACGATATGCCTCTGCTGCCCTCCCAGTTAAACGTCCTGCCAAAATAGGAACCCAGTCCTCTGTACTGATTCTATACAGTGTACACAGTCTTTCAAAATCTTGCAGGAAAGCATCTATGTCTTACTCTGCCTCCACATATGTTTTAATGAATACCCCTTGCTTCTAGGAGGTCCTTTAGTGTGGAGCGTTTTAGTGTAGAAAAATCAATCTCCATCCGTACTCCATTGGTGCTTGTTCCTCTGTGAGTCTGGATCCCAGTGCTGCCAACCAATGTAGCGGAGATCCAGTATTCCACAGGTTATCTCCGCTTAAGATCCCAGTGAGGCTCAGGAACAAGTAATTATAAATCCATAAAGCAGGTAAAATAATCCTGCAATATCCCAACAGCAATCCCAATAACTGGACAACACACAGCATCAGGAGTAGAACAAAAAAACCTTTATTTCACAGTGGCCTTATAAAGCATGCTCCCATGCTAGGGAGGGATTTCCATTAATTACTACAGTATCTAATCCGGCAGTAGTAACCTCCCACAGATCTCCTCCCCTCAGCCTGACTCATAATACTGTACACAAATTCCCCCAGTTTCTGGATGTACCCCTAAACCTAGGGGTACCCTTTTAAATGGCACATCCCCTGGTAGCCCTGATCTGGGTGAGCAACATATCCAAAAATCACCCAGATCGAACCAGGGGTTTTCGGGAATTTCATGGAGGTACTAAAAAGACCGACCGCGCTGGAGAGAACAGCCTAATTGGGTTCCATGCGATGGGGCCCTGCGGTCGGTCACAGTATAAGGGAATAAATGGCATGAAAGGCTAAGGCTACAGAGATCAGGTAGGGTTCGCATGAATCCCCTCGTTGGGTTGTTTCTGTCTACCGAATGAGGGGCCGTTCGGTAGTTTAGAACCGAACGGACCGGGCTTGTGGAGGTCTCAGCGGTGTTCGCCTAGTCGAGTGTCCGATTTGGGTTCCAGACACTCGCCGGCAAAACACAGCTGTTCGGGAGTTTTAAAATGGCCGCCGCCACGTGTTCATTTCCCAAATGGCGGCCACCCCGAGAACATAGGACCTACTGCATAGTTTGTTAATTACCCATTCGCAACATTGTTGCAATGGGTAATTGAAGGCACACTTCACACAGGGGAGGTTTGACTGTTCGGTAGTTTCATTCCCTTAGTTTGTCCGAACAATCAGACGAATACACGTTATTTAGACACATAAAAACCAGCAATTTACCCGAATACAGTTATACACATGCAATTTTCAGGACAGCCCAGTGCCATCCGCTACAGAGAGGAATCCACTACCCCCTCTCCCTGGTATTCCCGCTTCTCCCAGGCTCTCACCCCACCCTTGACGAGGACTGCTGCCAGCATCCTCGTCTTGGATGGGGTCCTGCAGTTGGGGATCTAGTTAGGCTGCCCAGCATCCCTGTAGAGCCGGTGGAGACTTCGGTCCCATCTGCACCATCCGCTCCCAACACCCTTCCTTCTGATAACAGGCACCGCACTGTTGGGGAATGGGACCAGTTTTCCCTACTCCCACGCGCTCCCACTGTGGTTGGGGAAAGGGACCAGCTGTCTTCTCTCTCTGTATATCTGGCTGCTGCTGAGTAGACAGGCCGGTTGCCTCTTCTCCCTGCATTGTATGCTGCCACTGGGGAGGGGGACAGATTGTCCCCACTCACGGTTTCTCCAGGTCTGGTTGGGGATCTGGGCAGACTGCGCATCACCATGGCACCCAGTACGAGTCATCCAGGATCAGTTCCCTCTCTTCTAGGGACTCAAGATTCCTTACCCGCTCCGTCCTGGGTTGTTCCCTGTTACCGTTTCCTCCTAGTGCTCACACAAGGACCATCAGCACCGTAGACACCAAAAACATTGCAGACCGAACGAACCACCACTGCTGGGCTGGTATCTCGCTGTCTGCTATCCATCCTGGACCTATGACCAGGCTCCAAGTACCAGTGGGTGATCTCTCTTCCTTCTGTAGAGTGAAGCAGGATCACGAACAAGAGCTCAGTAGCTAAGGGAGTATGAAGAGCATAGCAATCCCTGTAGTGATTATAGCTGTCCCCTACAAACACAAGTCAAGGCTGCGAGTTAGAGGGTCAAGTAGTTCTCTTTTAATCAGCACCAAAAAGCTTTCTTTTATGCAGGTTTTACACAATGTTACCACCCACAGGGTTTTGTGGAACAACCAATCAAACACGTATAATACAGTTAAACACTCCCATTCAGGACACACAAACCCTCCCCTCTGCCTGTGATATAATTACTGTACACAATGGGTTAACTTAATTATCACAGGCAGGAAAATACAGAGTTTCATACAATATTCTCAATAAAACTCCTTACATCCAATCTTCATAAAAGTTACATATTATTAATTGGCATACTTCAAATACAAACATACCCAAAAATGAGACAATTCTCTCCAATGGTTAAAAAGTTAGGTGGAAGTCCTTTTTTGACCGATTTTACACTGAAAAATAACAAAGTCCCATTCGAATGCATGGGTGCCGTTTGTGCAAATAGCTTAGTGTAACTGTGCACTCGAATCGTCGAACGGGACTTTGTTTTCAGCTGAAGCATTGAAGTGGAGGAGAAGGTAAGGTTCAGCGGTGTTCATGCAAATGTGTATCAGAACCACTCGCTATAGTATAAGAATTAAGGGTTTTCATACAGGTAATAGTGAAAGCAAATTCAATTTGTGAAGGAACCCCGATTGTTCGTATATCCCCCTGTCTTGATTATGTTTATTACCCTGTGTGTGTTCGTGCAAAATGCCTGCTCTCCTTTTGGGAGTGCCTCCACAAATGGAATCCATCCGCCTTCTGAACGGGGACCACCCCAACAATATATTTAGAACATTCTCACCCCGACCTGATGCCAAAGCCAAGGGAAGCATTGACGGGTGCCGTCCCCTGGGTGGCCGCCAGTTTGTATAGACGAATGCCATCCATCGGGAGCAGTCGTGAACTGCTTCCCACCCTGTTTGGTTCCCAAACAGGGACCTCCCCATTACCCAGAATGTTCACACCAATCAATTAGAACGTTAATAACTCGCAACATGTGTGAAACCGCAAGTGAAGTAATTAAAGAGTGCTTCCCTGGGTGGCTGTCATTTGTATAGACGATTTCTAACCAGTGGGAGATTTGTATCATCAATGGAGATGCTTCTAGACATGTGCAATTCGTACTTCCGAATGTCCGAATTGATGAATAGCCAAATTGTCAAGTTCCGAAATTACCGAAGTTCCTAAGCACAGTATTACCTAAGAACTAATATACTTACCCAGTGGAAGAATGAAGAATGTTACACTGTATACAATTTTATAGCATGACAGGAGGCTTCATATTTGCTTAAGTCTCTCTTTACTTGAACTCCACAGCAGCACATTAACATAGAGAGATAAACACCAGAGACAAAAACATAAGGTATCTATATAAGACTCCTCCTAAGCCACCATTTCCTCTTTCTTTGCTGCTCCGCAGACAGTACAGGTCAGAGTACCACTGCCTCCTGTTTTCTATGGGTGGCTGTGTGTGTATTATTATTATTTATATTTGGTGATTTTCTTATGTTTTCTTGCCTTGGATTATCAGTGTTTCTGTTTCTTATTGATGTGTTTATCCTTGTGTTTGGGCATTGCCTTACTTATCTGTTACTTGTGTCCCCTTTTTTTTTCTTCATTTCCCTTTTATTTCTTTTCCCTTCTTTTGGGTTTTGATTGTTTACTTTCTGCGGTCGCCGAAAAGCGGTTTACCGACCGCTTCCAGTGCCGCCGTCGGGACCGCAGAGTAAGACTCCGACGGTCCCACGTGTTTCTGGTACTGATTCCCGCCCGCTGGCTTCGTCCGCCGAGCTGGAATCCTATGCTTGCCTTCCTGCCCTGCCCGCGTCCCCGGTCGCTTGCTGCTGTTTCCCGAGCGGCATGGGGACGGAGCAGGGTGTTGGGTTATTGCCGCGGGTGCCTCCGCTTCTGGGCGCCCTTCCCCCCCGCGACCACGTGGCCGGCCACGGGGGTGAGCGGCTCTCTGTTCAGTCTCTGCCGCACGCACCTTTATTCCTTAAGGGCGCAGTGCCCAATTTATTTTTATTTTATGTTGGGCTACTGTTCAGCCCCCTCTGTTTGGGGGGGTCATTCCTACAGGTTTTTCTGGGTTCCTATGGGCAGGTTTGGGGTTCTCTACTCCTGCCTGCAGTTTTTTTCTTCAGTGCATGTTACTAAATTAGCATGATTTTGCTGCATGTCCCCTGGGATATAGGTGGCTTTAGTCATTTCACTGCATGGGACCCGCTTAGCATCACTGTGCTGTCATTGCACCCGGTTGCACCTCTGCCCTACATGCACTGTATGTCAAGATATACCCGCACGTCTACCACAAGGACCTACGCTCCTGCCTCACATACCACTGGGCCGGTGCTGCCCGTGCCCATATACTGGCCTGCTTTGTCTGTGCCCTTATGATTGGCTTGCTTTGTCTGTGCCCCTTGATTGGCCTGCTCTGTCTGTGCCATACTACGCATGCTATTGACCTGACGGCTCCTTACCCTGGAACAAGATTTGTTGAGCTCGCATGCGTTGATACTTGCCTCTGCCATACTAGGGGTGCTGCCCCTACTGCCTGCTACTGATACCTGTTCTCTGTCTCCTTAGGTATCACGTACCGTATCTCAGGCATCATGGAAGCCGCTGTGCAGGAGCAAAACTTGCAGGCATTGATTAATGCGGCTATGGCCGCCTCTGTGGAGAAAGCCCTGGCGAGGGCTCTTCCTCAACCTCAGACTGACAGGGGTGCGAGAGGAACCCCCCTTTTGGCAGACGACTCGGCTGAGTCAGACTCTCAGGAAAGAGAGCAGGCAAATGCGCTATTGGAAGGGTGAAGGCCCTGAACCACGCTCCCGGAAGGGCAACCTCGCCGGCCAGGCGCCGTCGTATATCGGGCGCAGGGGAGGAGGCCTCCTTACCCCCCCCTACTATGGCCGTGTTGGATGAGTGGCGGGCAGACGGGCAGATGAGTGGCGGGCAGATGAAGATGGAGATTGGGTCGAGCACCGTGGGGATGGCCCCAGTTGGCGCTGGGAGGACGAAGATGCGCCAGGGACAGAGGCCCCCTCGGCGGTGCCGGGAGACAACACCTTTCTGGATGCTACGGGAGAACTCCTGTTTGACCCTCGGTCTATCCGACACCCCAGGTCCTCAGAATGGTCTTTGCCCGACCACTTGGCACAGTTCGTGCGCTACTGGGTCCACAGACCCCTTGAAGTGGAGGCCCGCAAGAAACTGAGGGCAGAATGCCCCAGACTCGTCCTGCCAGACAAGGTGGCAGTGACCCCGGAGTTTGACCCCTTGGTGGCCACGTATTTGACCCGTTCGGGTCGGGACCCCAAGAAGGGGATGGAGCGTAGCCTCCGGTCATCGCAAGATAAGCAGCTGGACATGCTGGTACCCCTATGCAGGATGTTGGCCTTAGCATACGAGGCCTACACAGAAGGTATGAACCTGGATCCGGCCACCATGCGGGACTGGGCACTACGTTCCATTTGCCTGCTAGGCAATGCCTATGTGGCCCTCGGCACTGAGCGCAGGAAGACAGCTCTGTTCCGTATGGACAACAAACTATCGGAACTGGGCTCCAAAGAATTGGGCCCCATGGCTAAGGGCCTATTGTTCGGGGAACCCTTCATTAAGGAGCTACAGAAGCATGTCAACCTGTTTACCTCCCTGGATAAAGCTCAGTCTTCCATTAAGAAGGTTTTTCAGCCGCAATCATCCCGGGTTTTTGGACGGGCTGGACGACAGCGGGGTCGTGTCTCCAGCCACGGCTGGTCCTCGGGCCGCCACAGATCCCGTGGTCCGTCCTTCTTTCTGTTATACCACTCCAGAACCCCCTACGCTCAAAGGGCGGATAGAGGTCGCGGATACCGTGCCAGAGGACGGGCAATATTTCCTGCAGGTGAGTGCACCTCCTACCACTTTCGTTCACCCTACTTTACATGCGGGCAGACTGTTTCACTGCAGAGACAGGTGGCGGGAGGTGTCTTCAGATGTATGGGTGCTTCAGACGGTACGGGGTTATGTCATAGATTTCCATTCCCCTCCAACACAGGTTGGACCCCCAAGGGTCCCCATCATCGCAAGAGAACAACAGTCCTTGATAGATACGGAAGTTCGGGCACTGTTCGCCAAAGGCGCTGTTCAAAGAGCCCCGGATTTTGGGGGTTTCTTCAGCTCGATTTTCCTAGTGAAGAAAAAGTCTGGGGAGTTCCGCCCAGTGATCAATTTACGACAATTGAACACCTTCGTGGTCTACAACCACTTCAAGATGGAGGGCATTCATCTTCTGCGGGACCTTCTCCGACCGGGAGACTGGTTCACGAGACTGGACCTGAAGGACGCCTACCTCTCCGTCCCGGTGGACAAGGACTGTCGCAGATTCCTTCGCTTCCTATGGAAGGGCATTCCATGCCAATTTACATGCCTCCCCTTCGGCCTCAGCTCGGCTCCTTGGTGTTTCACCAAGCTCCTGAAGCCGGTGGTCACCCGTTACAGGTCGGAGGGTGTCCGCTGCATAATATATCTGGACGACTTGCTGATCTTTTGCGAGGACCCCTCCAGGCTCAGATATCAGATGCGCTCTGCGATCTCCTTGTTGGAACACCTGGGGTTCATGGTCAATTTGAAAAAAATCGGCGTTGGAACCTTCCCAGAAGGTGGAATTCTTGGGTTTCGAGGTCGATGCGATAGAATGCGTTCTTCGTCTGCCCTTGGCAAAGATAGCGACCATTCGGAAGGAGATAAGACGGATCTTACGGCAAGACCGGATTCCCCTTTGCATGTTGGCTCGCGTGGTGGGTCTCCTCTCGGCCTCGATACAGGCGATTTACGTGGGCCTACTGCATTACAGGGCCATGCAACGGCTGAAGGCTCATTTTCTGCGCAGGAGACCATCTTACTATCAGATGATCTCCCTGTCTCCGGACGTGAAGACCGAACTGCGCTGGTGACTCCTGCATATGTCCGCCTGGAACGGCAAAGCGATATTCGGACCAACCCCGGATTTTGTGCTGGAATCAGATGCGAGTCTGTGGGGTTGGGGTGCCACGTGCGCGACCGGGTCCACGGGGGGCCCGTGGTCGGACAAGGAATCGGAATTTCACATCAATTGCCTGGAATTGATTGCGGGTTCATTTGCGATTCGGAGCCTGGCGAACCACCTGTCGGACTGCTGCGTCCTCCTTCGGATGGACAATGTCTCAGAGGTGCAGTACATCAACCGCTTGGGGGGGGCGCCCGGTCTCGAACACTATCGGAGGTGACGAAGGAGATTTACAGTTTCTGTTTCCAACGCGACATCACCTTACAAGCGGAATATCTTCCGGGGGAGTCGAATCTGACGGCGGACTGGTTCTCCAGACATTGGAGGGATGCCAGCGACTGGAAACTCCTGCGACCCATCTTCTTCGAACTCGAGTATCAGAGGGGCCCGTTCACCTTGGATCTATTCGCCTCCAGGACGAATCACCAGACCCAGAGGTACTTCAGTTGGCTCCCGGATCTGGCGTGCACGGCGGTGGACGCTTTTCTCCAGGTGTGGCCTTTGCAGGGAGCGTATGCGTTTCCTCCATTCGCTATGATTCCCAGGGTATTGCTACAAATTTGACGGCAGCGTGTGTCAGAGTCAAGCCTGGTTTCCGGTTTTGATGGCAGAGTCAAGCCTGGTTTCCGGAGCTCCTGGATCTCTCCTGTCGGGATCCTCTTCTCTTACCATCCTCTCGAATGCCCCTCACGGACTCCCGGGGCAACCCTCATCCCCTAGTGGGAGACGGCCACCTGCTCCTGGTGGCCTGGACTCTTTCAGGGGTGCCTGGAATGTCGAGGCGTTATCACAATCGGCTAGAGACCTTCTCTGGGATTCCTGGGCTCCCGGGACGAGGAGGTGCTATCTCTCAGCATGGGGTTCCTGGTGTCGCTGGTGTTTGGAACGGGATACCGATCCCTTTACAGGTCCTGTATCTAGCGTGCTGAATTTCTGGTCTCACCTCTTTGACCTGGGTCGGTCATACCGCTCAGTTAACGTGGCTAGGTCAGCTATCTCGGCGGCACATGTCCCGTTTAGAGTTTTTCCCATCGGCCAGGATCCGCTAGTCTGCAGACTCCTGCGTGGAATGAGGCTGGCGCGCCCTCCGGCACCCAAGTACTCTTCCCTCTGGGACGTACATTTGGTTTTGGCATTCCTTCGGGATTGGCCTGATAACCAGGACCTTTCTCTTCGCCAGCTTTCGGCAAAATTTGCCCTCTTGTTGTGTCTGGTCTCGTTCAGACGTGTTTCGGATGTCCGGGCCTTCGATGTCGACATTTTCTCGTTTTCTTCAAGGTGGTTAGACGTACCAAGTCGGACTCGTCGGTTGTATCATACCCTTACTTCAAAGATTCGCCTAAGCTTTGTGTAGCGAAGGCACTGGCTCATTATGTTGCCGTTACCGCTCCTTTGCGCTCTTCTCATTCTGGACAGTTGATTTCATATGTCAGACCCCACAAGCCAGTCTCGTCCCCTACCCTGGCTCGATGGATAAGATGGCTTTTGGCGGGCGTGAATGCAACCTTCAGAGCGCATTCGGTTAGGGGCGCCGCAGCTTCCGGAGCCTTTATGGCGGGCGCTTCCCTTCAGGACATTTTGCGTTCGGCGGACTGGTCCCGTGAAGAGACTTTTCGCCAATTCTACTTTAGACCGTCGGACCATGCTTCTTTTGCTTTGCTGTCGGAGCGTTAAAACAGCAAATATGAAGCCTCCTGTCATGCTATAAAATTGTAGATTATACTAGCTTTAGTGTAACTATAATCTTAATTTTATTAATGACAGGAGGCAAATATTTCCCACCCAGTCTTTTGTTTCTCCCCCCCTTGTTTGGATGGATTGCGTTGATTGTATTTCTGTTGAATTGTCTGGTCACCTGGGCTAGGTCTGGTAGTCTGGGGTGATGTTTGGGGAAGTTGGGGGAGGTGTTTGTTATATTGTATTGCCAGTAATTAATGATGGATTTCATATCTTTTATTCTATCAGCACTGGATCGTGGGATTTATGTTTTATCAGTACATTTCGTTCACTAATCAGTGTTTTCGATTTTGTTTCAGTTTAATGGTTTGACTTCAGTTCCTAGAATCGGCTGTTGGACAGGATGAAGATCAAGATCACATCCGTTATCCGAAGTTGTTTCCAGATGACATTCATTGTTACATTATATTTTTCCTTTAATTAGTTTATTGGCATTATTGTGTAAGTTATGTTGTCGCAGCGTGAAAGAGGAAATGGTGGCTTAGGAGGAGCCTTATATAGATACCTTATCTTTTTGTCTTTGGTGTTTATCTCTCTATGTTAATGTGCTGCTGTGGAGTTCAAGTAAAGAGAGACTTAAGCAAATATTCGCCTCCTGTCATTAATAAAATTAAGATTATAGTTACACTAAAGCTAGTATAATCTACAATTTTAAATAAAAAGTATACAAACATAGCCAGGATTCAGCTGTAAGCATTTGCAACACTTACAACAATCAAGTAACATACATTCATATAAAATGTAAGTTACTTAGCCAGTCAATGTAATGACAGGAATGAATAAGTAGATAGCTCCCTAATTCCCACGGTATTAGGGAGCTATCTACTAAAAGGCTAAAAGACCTATATAGGTCTTTCAGACAAATTTACTAATACTAAGTAAAGATTACTTAGTATTAGTAAATTATGCCCCTACTATACCGCGAGTAGG